GAGAGAGAGAGAGAGAGAGAGAGAGAAGTTTGTTGTTCCCAAACAATCTTGTTTGTGAACGTTATCATTGGCCGTGAGTTTAAAAATTATCACGAGTCTAGGCTGAGGTGGAGGGAGGAGGTGCCAGGGGAGGTGGTTTGGGGGAAAGGGTCACACTAGAGTTGAGGGGGAGGGTGAAGTGAAGACCAACGGTGAAAGCTGTGATAGGAGGGCAAAATAGTCAGGACAGGAGATAGAGGATGAGGATAGTGTGGAGAAAAGGGTGAAAGAGTGGCAACGGGAGATGGAGGGGGTAGGGGGGAGGGGTTAGAGGAGGGAAAGATCCGCTCGGAGGGTTTAAGAATTCCAATAGGAGGGGAAGGGTGCAGGCAAGGAAACGGTGGAAACTCCGTCACTCCGTCACCCTATCAATCCATTCCATTACGATATGAGGGGGAGAGAGACCGGAGAAAAAAAGAGAGGAGAGCTGCAATAGGAAGGGGAGTGGTTGTAACTGTAGAGAGAAAAGGGGAAAAAATCCACTGAGGGGAAAGAGTCATGATAAGAGGGAAAGGGAGGAGTTAAGGAGGGAAGGATCCATAATAGGATTTGCAACTGGAGCGGAAGGGTGGAGATGGGAAACAGTGGAAACTTGGCGAGAAGAGGGGGATGAGGAAGGGGGGAAGAGTCACAATAAGAAGGGTACTTGTTGCTGCTGGAGGCAGAAATGGGGAAGAGGCTAGAAGGCGACAACGTTGTGATGAAAGGGAGGGAGAGAGGGAAAATGGGGGCAAAAGGTGGGAAAGTTTTGTGATAGGAAGGGGAAATGAGAGAAAGAACTATGGTAGGAGGGGCCACGAGTTGTAATAGCAGGGTAAGAATGAAGGCGGGAAGAGTTGAGGTAGAAGGGGGAGAGCGGAGGGAGGAAATGCGGGAGACGTCACAGTAGGAGAACAGGGGGAAGGGGGGAAGTATTAGTGACAGGATAGGGAAAGGGGAGGAATAGCCGCCATAGGGGTGGGAAGGGGGGCTGAGAAATAGGGAAAGAGTTGCGATAGGAAGGAAGTGGAAGTGCAAGGAATACGAGCGAGAGCGATAGACAGAAAACCAAGTTGCAAAATCACGAAGTAGTCCAGATAGTCATGTACAAAGCAGAGAGCTCAAATGCACCAAGATACCATCCAAATAAGAGCAATACAAAGAACTCGAGTGCCAATGCCGACGCCCTCTGGTCACACCAACACTGTATCCAATGTTGCCTCTACTGTCTGGCGCTCAGCGCCCAGCCTACTCTACTCTGCCTAACTAGCCTATCTACGTTCATGCGACTGGATCACACCGAAGTCGAAGACCAATGTACGCGACACCAACACCAATGCCGACCACCAGCATACACCAGGTACGATCTCTCTCCTCCCCTCATCAGACCTTGACTGTTACGGACTCAGCCAGGTCTCAATCCCTGGTCTGCGGGTCACCACCTGCCAGGCTGCTATTCTATTTTTTTTGAGTCTCTGATCTCCGGTTCCTGACTGTTGGCGCCCTCTGCAGTTGGCGCCCGTTCTCAAATCCCGCCTCTGGCACTTTCGGATTTCGATACTTGGCGCCATCCGGCATCATGGCGCCCAGGCTCAGACCTTCGATCTTCAGTTCAGCCCCGAGGCAAATTGCACTTCTGCCCTCGGACTCAACTTGAGTCCGGTACTTAAGACCGGACTCAAACTGAGTTCGGGCATTCAGTTTTCGGCCTCAGTGCTTGTGCTTCAGTGTGACTTGCTGCGACATTGTGTACGGAACCAAGATTGCGACTTTGCGACTTTGCGACTTTGCCACTTTGTGTCTGCGTCCGTCGAGTCGAGTCGAGTCCGTGTCGAACTGAGTGAGTGTGTGTGTGTGCGCTCCCTCCCTCCCTCTCTCTTCCCTGACCTCGCTGCTCTACCTCAGCCCCGTCACACTGACCACCCACTGATGCGCCTCCTACCCAAAGACCTCCTTCGCCCATCAACCGCATTGTGCCCCTGCAGCCCGGCTATGGCTGCCACGCGCCGCGTCCTGCAGTGCCCCTCTCACCTCAGAGTGCCCATGTGCGCCCCAGCCAGCAGCACACATGCAGATACCTGCGCAGCAACGCAGCAGTGTGTCCTCATTGCCTGCCTACGCCAGCCCCTTCCCTCTGGCCAGCGATCTCCCTATATGGAAGTCTCAGCCTCTGTTTGGCTGCGAGGGCTTGGATGAGGAAGCTCCCAGTAGCTTCCAGTCGGGGCCCAGTGTCTGCGTCCAGGCCCTGTCCGACAGTTAGGGGCCTGGGCCCTTTCTGGTTGGGGACGTCCAGGCAGCCTCCAGGTTCCAAGTGTTCTCCGTCTTCTCATTGGCTCGCCGGGCCTCTGTGACGACAATGCTGCATTCTGATTCGCCCGTGGCAACTTCGTGATGTGTCGGCCTCGCACTGCGTGTGCCCAGGGTGCAACCACCCGGCCCTGGGCTCAACTGCTTGACACAGCTGCTGTTTCTGGAAGAAGCCCAGGGAGAGGCTCACGTTGCACTTCAACCAACTGCCGTGCTGCAACTATCTGATACCCACATTGGAAAATGCTGAGATAAGGGCCTCTCGTGGATATTCAGGCCCGCCTTCACTTAGGGCGGGCAAGAGGCTTGCTGGGGGCCACAGCCCAGATCATGTGCATGTCAGCTAGGGCCCCTTGAGGACACATTCCTCACAGAAGATGGGGAAAAGGTGAAAACACTGCAAATGTGAGAATGGGATGGGGAACAGCGAAGAGGAGAGGGGCAAGTAGTCATGAGAGGGGGG